TATATATATATATATATATATATATATATAGTCTTTTTTATGTAACAATTTATTAAAATATATATATATATATAGATATTTAAAATTTTATTGATCTTTTTTAATACATGATTGTCAATTTTAATCATCTTTATTGTTACCAAACAGAATATTAAACATTTTCGATATAATATTAAACATTTTTTACTGATCAAATCTTCGGTGGAATATTAACCATTTCCGACGGATATTCCATAAAAAATCTCTTGTCAAAAACCATGAAAAAATTTGATTAGTAATATTACCAATGGATTTTCGTTAGTAACATTTCGTCGAAAATTTTTTACTTAGGCATCTGTCGAAAATTTTTATAAAAAAATCTTACATTTTTGAAAAATATAAAACTGTAGGAAATATTCTATCAGTAATATAATTTTTCCTATGATTTTTTTTCGTTGTTAAAATCTATTAGAAATATAAATTTTCTAATAGATTTGTATCCGTCGAAAAATATCCATCGGTAAAATCTTTCGGAAATATAAATTTTTTGACAGATTTGTATCGTGGAAAATTATCTATTGGTAATATAACTTTTGTTACGAATTTTTTTCGTCGGTAAAATCCGTCGAAAGTACAAATTGTTTGACAAATTTGTATCCGTTGAAAATTATTTGTCGGTAAAATTCGTTGGAAGTATATATTTTCCAACAAATCTGTATTCGTTGAAAACTATCCGTCGATAATATAACTTTTTCTATGATTTTTTTTCCGTCGATAAAATCCGTCAAAACTATAAATTTTCTGATAGATTTGTATCTGTCTATAATTTGCATTTTTCTTGTAGTGATTGTAAATACCAGTTTTTTTTAAGTTTATGATTATTTATTCTGGGACTTAGGCATCATACTGTTGTTCAACAAGTTCTTCATGGGTGTGCTTTGGATTCTAAATGTTGTGCCGACATAGTTACATCTGAACAATTGGGCAACAATGCAAGCATTTCAACATTTATTGCTCCTGTCCCTCAGATAAAGCAAGGTGGATTTCTCTTTTTTGGAAAATCGACTTGTGCATATTCAAGCCTTATACTTCCTCCTATAGAAAATTCAAGGTGGGATTCCTTCTATTGGACTTGAGTCCATTGGAAGTATGACATAGTGTCGATGTCGTACCTTTCCCCTGAGGAGAAGACAAACCTCTGCTTTCTTTTGCATCTACGTTAGTGTCTGGCGTGTCGGCCTTTGGTTAGGTTGTCGAAGTCATTAAAGATACTTCGTAACTTAATCGGTACAACATCCTTCCTTTAATTAACATTACTTACTTGTGTTATAATTGATTTTCACTAGTTTTCTGTCAGCATCATGGTGAGCAGCGATAGTGACAACTTGGAAATCTAAAATCTCATCAGTTGCTGAGTCTGAGAGGCCATTGGGTGTGGAGTGTCGACTTCGGGGGTGTTGAGTAGAGTTCTGGTCCCTCCTCCAATTGACATTCAACTTGTTCGAATAGATAAGAGGGATAAAGGAAAGGGAAAAAGCCCCAAGGATGCACGCTCACACCGACCGGGGAAGAAAAGGTTTGAAGATGTTGTGGCCGAGGAGGCAGTCTGAAAGATGAAGCAACAAAAGTTTCCTACTTTGGTTGTTCCTCAAGCTTTTGTTGGGCCTAGTTTTCTGGTTGTTGAGGTCTATGCCCAAGACTACTTGAGCCATAATTTGAATTTTGAAGAGGGGCAGGTGTTCCTTGACCAACTTAACTTTGCTCATAAGTGGAGTTATTTTTGCGAGTTGTAGGCTCGATCTTTGGCCTTGGTTTATAGCATCATCATGGAGCCAAACACTAAGGTCGAGGAACTTCAAAATAAGCTGATCGACTCAGAGAAATCTATGCAAGAGACCTTGGAAACTTTGATTGATGCCCTTACTAGCAGCAAAAAGTATGAGACTAAGATGAACTGACTGCACCGAGTGAATGATGACATGATGTTGTCGATGTAGAAGCTTGAGAATTTGGCTACCAATGATGCCAACGAGATATCTCGGTTAAAATGGGAACTGGAGGGCGAAAAGAAATCTTGTGAGTCTCACCAGGAAAGGGCCCAAAAGA